ATAGGTCTAGAAGTTCTCGTAGGGTTCAGAGTTACTCAGTTGTTGGGACATGGCCCTCAGCTGTTGCGAGGGTTATGTCCGGTACACGTATTGGGCGGTGGCGGGAGGACCTGCTGCCTCACACACACATAATGGCTGAGCGCAGGGTGGCAAAGGATAGTCGGCATCTCAGCCAAGCCATCACGGTAGAATATGCCTTCTGCTGTTTCTCGGCAATCATGTCTGCGAGTCGTTTATAGAAAGTTGCCGCTTCACGTCCTGTGGTGGTGACGATAGGTGTGAAAATGACGTTTTACGTCTCGGACACGTTGACCATACTCCCTTTCCATCTCCTGGTGCCTCCGAGGTACGCAGAGCACGCGGAGCGATTATGCCGTAGTTAGCCGCCGTTGTGTATTTGTATATTGGCTTTTTCACGCTCTAGCTTTGCAACGGAGCATTTTCAGAGAAACCCCCACAAATTTTCTGACCTTCATTGCCCGTTAAGTTGGTCGTATGGTTTGTGAGACGAACGAACATTCCAGAAGTGAGATTGAGAGTAACAGACACACAGACCAACAACAGTACCCTCGCTGTGCATACGCGCGGAGAGTAAAACAATAACATGCGCGCCGAGGGTTTAATGAAAAGCACTAAAGTGCAAACCCTCGGCGAACTGTGCATGCGCGGTACCGCGAATTCATGGGCTGGGCCATGGGCTATTTGTAGTATGCGTTTGTTCGCTGGAGTAGCTCGCGGAGAGTGTTTCAGATTGCGGGTTTTATATACGCACTTATCCGTCTCTTGCCCGTTCAAAGTTTGTTCAGGTGTTTTAAAGGCTCTCACATTCGCTTTTTGCATTCTTCGTTGCTTCGGATATATTTCCAGATTGCGCTTTACGCTTAGATGGAAAGGCATGGCCGCATCCACAAACTGCTCGTCTAACGTAAACTGCTGTGAGATATTGCGGATATAGTTTGTCGTCCATCGAAAACATATATCAACACTGACCGAGGAGAGAAACTCAAGAACCGCTTGCTCGTCCGAGGTCAACTAAAATAACCACGTGGCATCTCGCAGATGCGCACGCTCCGGCAAACGATAATAATTGGCGAGCGGGAGCGAGCCAACCTAGTCGTTAGTTCGAGCTGAATTTTCGGTATATTATTAGAGCGTAGGTAGACGCTCTATATAGGGATGGCACGAGTCAAATCTCACGTGATCCGCGTGCAAAACTCGTTCAAAATAACTCCCTAGGCCTTCAAAACACACTAGCAATAGTCTACGGGCCCATATCTACCTATACACGTTCCCAAAGACCTCATATGCACATTCAGTTCTCCACGCGAGACTTCGCTCATACCCGATATCTGGATTTGCGTGTCATCATCACCACCATCGTCATATTCTTCATCTTCCGGTTTCTTCTTCAGTAAACCCGCTATCTACTTATCAGAACCAGTTGAAGCGCTGATTTTTGCAATGAACGTCTCCAATTTTGTCGGAGGTGTGCACGGACATCAAGCGATCGTTTGTTTCTTGCCGCAAGTCACTACCGTTGATCGTGCAGCTCTTCCATGGTCGACACTGAACAACGCCATTTGCTGCTAACTCAGCATTCAGTAAGCTGCGCGCATGCGCTAGGCAGGGACGTTCGCTCTGTTCGCGCGTATTACAAGGCGACCTGCTGAGGAACTCTCAGCTTCCAGTGCCTTCTGTAAGTCAGTGTGCACATTTCGAACTGGCTAGGTTGCATTTTGCTGTTCATTTACACGAGGAGCAACTTGGCCGAGTCAGCGCGGCACAAAAGGGGCCTTCATTTGTCTACCCTAGGTTGTAGCCTGATTACCAAAGCCTGCCCATGAAACCGCAACCATGTGCCATAACCTAATAACATCCTACCTAATTACCCCAGGTGAATATGGTATCTACGTAGCTCCTGCTTCAGGCACTAGCAGCCCACTAGCTACAGCTTTCAACAATTACCGTTTGTCCTTGGTAACCTATCTACAACATACCCATGAACATCAGAGTGACTGTAACAATAAAATGCAGTGTTGTCATAGGCTGTTAATAATAGTGGAAACAAGTGGAAAAATCATTTCTTCAAAATGAAGGTGGATATAGGGATGGCTTGAAGCAGCAAAAAGGAAGAAACAAGGGGTCATTACAGCAGATATGCACAAAGCTACATGACACCATCCCTATATCTTTGTTTTATTGTTCGTAAGGAAAGTTTAATATCGAACAAAGATATAGGGAAGGCGCCATGTAGCTTTGTGCATCTTTGCTGTAATGACCCCTTGTTTCTTAATTTTTGGTGCTTTAAGCCATACCTATATCCCCCTTCATTTTGAAGAAATCATTTTTCCACTTGTAGATTTATCGTTCGTACGTCGTGTCGGTGCGCATGCGCGGCTTTGTACGCGCTTCTTTTTATCCAAATTTTCACACATTTTCACACGCGGTGCCTCGCGATATGCGCCGATCGATCTAGCCAGCTAGAGAACTCTTCTCCATTCGACGGCATGCGCTGCAACCTTCGGTGACTTCAGGGGCGTAGCCAGGATTGAATCTTAGGGGAGGCAAATATGTTATTCATGATTAATTGCGCGCATGCGCAATGATGTTGCGCAATATCCTTCCCTCATCCCGGGCACCCAGAATCGTCCTGCGGACGTTTATCTACCATGCTGGAAAAGGGGCCGCCCTGCTGCACTGGACATCACAGTCATATCTACAATGCAACAGTCAACTATCCAGTCAGCTGCCGAGATTCAAGGCCATGCTCTGCATGTGGCGGAGGCACGGAAATTTGCCACCCATGGTGCATCATGCCAAGCAGCCGGCATTTCCTTCATCCCTCTCGCTATCGAATCCCTCGGCGGTTTAAGTGACACCACTGCTGAGACCTTATCCTGCATAGGCCATCTCATAGGCCAACGTTTTGGGGTCCCCCCCCTTGAATCGTCCCGTCAGCTTTTTCAAAGGTTGGCCATCTCCCTATGGAGAGGGAATGCCACCGCCTGGATCCATCGATGCCAGCCACCTGCCCCTTTCCTAGACGGTGTGGTCTGAATCCCCCCCTTCGGCCGGGGGTGTTTTCGTGTGTGGTTATCTTTGTTTTTTTTTGTATTTTGTTTTTTTTGGGATCCTTTTTTTTGTTTTGTTTTTGTTTTTTTTGTTCTTTTTTTTTTTTTCCACTATCATTGTGTAATTTGAATTCCACTCATTATGACTTCCTAATTGAAAAAAAAACAAAAACCGTTTACTCGCGAAGATCGCGGAAGGCCAGAGCAAAACAGCAGTGCCCGGAGCTATATATACCAGGCTTGTAAGGATATGTCCGCTTTTGGTTGATGTAACCCAGTGTTAACTGCATGCTCTCGCTGCTGGCGCTTGTCGTTGCTTACACTGCGAAAAGTTGTAATAAATTATTCATACGTCGGCAAAAACAGGGGAGGCAACTGCCTCCTCTGCCTCAATGCTAGCTACGCCAGTGGGACGAGGCTGTACCTCCTCCCAATCTTCATGGTTCGAAGGTGCAACTTGCAAATAAGCTAGGATTGCTCGTGCTTATACTGCTGCATGGCAGCTGCCGGGTGTACCACGACTGACGAACTGAAAGCGTAAGGTAGGTAACCTTGCTCACCGTTCAGCCAATATACAGTACGCATGTAACGGCGACAGGTATATCTGTGTTGCTTCACGAAAGGAAAGCTGTGCGCTGACGGCACGTTATGCCCCCCGAACATCGGGGGCAAATAAGTTGGGTCGCTCCCGCTCGCCAACAATGTTCAACATTTCCACTAGTATTATAGCTACGGCAAACTCCCACATATGCGCGTGTGCCATGGATCGCTCGCGTTTGATGCTCCGGCAAACGGTATACACCCATATATATACGCGCGTGCGCGATGGATCGCTCGCGTAGGCTTTTCCGCTTGTTTTCACGCCATATCTCAGGAACGCAATCGTTTCAGGAAAATCGCCACATTAATGTCCATCTCCTCGTTGTTCACAAGCCGTTGGTGCCACTCATTGGCCTCCTCGTAGCCTGTAGTGCGAGAACTCGCGCGGACAGACAGACTGACAGACCAAGTACTGTAACCCTCGCTGCGCATGCGCGCCGAGGGTTAACCATACAAGACTTCACACCCTGATCATGCTGGAGCTACGACATGGTGATGTCATTCTAGTCAGGCAGAGTTCGAAGTACCGGAACTCAGACCAAGCTAATTACATGTCGCATCGTCAGTGACTGCAGAACTTCTAGTATTATACAGCAGTGGTATTGCTTGCACTACGAAGAAGCTGTACATGACGAGTTCCCCTTGCACCTTCTCTGTCTTCTGTGTGCCATCACTGACCAGGACGCAGCTGCCCAGCAACCAAGGCTTCCATACATATAGCCATACTTTATTGCTCTCTGAGATACATTTGGTTGCAGTGAAGCTTTTAGATGCACTCCCAGTGTACAAGACTTTGCAGGGGTTGTTTGTCCTCTTCTGCATTCTCTTCGTCACTAAGCTGCAACCACCCTAGCTGCACATGCACTGTTATAGCACAGCTGTAGAGGTTTGCCTTTGCCTTGCATTGTGTTGTAGATTTGAGCCCCAGCCTGCTGAGCTGCCCTTGTAGATCAGTGGGTAAGAGCGCTCTGCCTAGACTGCAGAGTATCGTGGGTTCGAATCCCACCCAGGGCAGCTCTTTATTTTTCTTTTGGAAGAGTTATTCGGGGTGTAGTTGAATTGTTTGCCTTGGCCTTGCGGCCTTGTTGATGTTTGCATGCACTGGAACCACATGTGGAGAGCACGACCATCCTCAGCAATTCCCCCTTTTGGATATCTATCTCTGCTGTGGAGACAGCATGCAGGTCTAACTCACACATAGCAATGAAAATGGAATTTGTATATAGCAATAATCCATATAAGAGTATGAAACGTGCACACATGCAAATAATAATTATGCAACCATGAAACGACACACAAGGGGGTAAATGTGTATACCTTTAAAAACCTACTGGGACTACAACAGTTGTACTATGGTGTGGGTGACCCTGGCTAATTTATGAGCATTTCGTTGGAATGATTCAGTTCACTCTCGGCCACACCTCCTGTGCCGGGTTCCCTGGCCTCTGGATCCTGGACGAGCACAGGGTCCCCAATGTCAGTCTTTTGGGTCTGTGTTGGTGAATCTAAAGTAAAAAGATCAGAAGTAGCTCTATATAACTAGGTAACTCCCTGTTATAATAAGAATTATAATGTATGACTTAAACTACGTGTTCGTGACTAACTGAAAAGTTTGCTGGTATCTCATACGTTAACTTAGGGGCAGAGCTACCTTGCGTCTCATAGGAAGGTTTGAATTTGCCAGATCGGTTCTTCTTGCGCAGCATGAGACACATGATGAGGAGCACAATGAGGACCACCAGCAGAACCAAAGCAACCACAATGGTGATAACAATGCCAGCAATGGCTCCACCACTCAGTTCATCGTCATCCTCTGTTGGTGACACTGTGGGAACTGATAAAAACGTTCAATAACAACACAATCTGCTTGTTTATTGTGTAAACCCTATAAATGCCAAGAGCCCTGCTAGCTTTATCAACCCTCGGCGCGCATGCGCAGCGAGGATTACTGTAGAGTAAGCCACCGATAATCGGACACCATGTATTCTCGGACGCATTTGTAAAGTCTGTGCAGGACTAGATTGGCTACTGTGTATACCAAACTGTAGTTCTTGGTCATAAACTGTTGTAAAAAAATATTCGCTCTTATCCGAGCTTTACCGTGGGAATGACGTTGCCGTAAAGTTACGATTCGGGCACAGCAAAGTTCGGACAAGGCCATCAAAGGTAGGACAGTCTCCCAAAACGGGAACAGTTTGAATGATCCAAGCGAGTGTGTGCTTGATTGATAGCTGTACCTTTTGGCTGTGCAGCGACGCACAAATGGCCCTTTTTTGTCTTCGCTATTTTTGCTCACGAATGCGCAAATAGACGAGGTCGCGTAATCCGCGTTTTACGCGAAAAGCAGTTTTCGGCTTGTCTCTTCTAACACACGCGCCGGATGAAGCTATAAAATGTTCTCCTCGTTGTTCTTGCCTTATATTAGATGCCTGCAACACGATTTCTGTTGTTGTAAGATTTTAATTTTTTGTAATTACCAATAATTATTTTTTGATAATTACCAATAAAAAGTTACATCTCACAAAAACGGAAATCGTGCTGCAGGGATCTAATATAAGGCAAGAACCAAAGCAACCACGATGGCGATAACAATGCCAGCAATGACTCCACCACTCAGTTCATCGTCAACAACCACTCTTGGTGATACTGTGGACGGCCGAGGAACACGTTCAAAAACAACACAGTCTGCTTGTTTATTGTCTAAACCCCATTAATGCATTTTTCCAAGAGCCCTGCCAGCTTTATTTATACAGTGTTTATTGGATTGTCGCTTCGTGATTAAGGCAACAACAAAAATGCAATCTGCTCATGCTGTATCTGGCATAGCTGTATGTGTGACACCGACATCTCCACTGCTGGTGGCAGCTCTGGTTATTACAATTGCATGGGTGCTGAGTTAACTTACTATGAGATGAGAAAGCTAAAATTAATAGTGATGAGGCAACAAAAATTCAGCTCTCTAATATTTACGACACTTTTCAGCAAGAAGGCTTGATATAAGAATTTTAACCTTAGATACCTTTTTCACAGGCTATGGTTTCCTCTGACCACGTTTGGTTCATTTGGCATGTCTGGGTGGTTGCCTCAGTGCTGAACTGGTAGTCAGAGTCACAGGAGTATGTCGCCACCGCCCCAACAACATACACACCAATATTATCCACACTCCCATTTGTTAGTGCAGGTGGGGTTGAACACAAGATTACTGGAGGGAATGAGAGAGGAGAAAATTAATTGGCAAGGAAGAGATAGAAAAATGCCAACTGATGTAGCAGAAGCTTCTTTTTAGCGTGTATTACTTTGGCTAGTGTTGTAGGAGCATGTAGTTATTAAAATTAATTCGAGAAAACAATTTTAACCTTAGATACCTTTTTCACAGGCTATGGTTTCCTCTGACCACATTTGGTTTAGCTGGCATGTCCGGGTGGTTGCCTCAGTGCTGAACTGATAGTCAGAGTCACAGGAGTATGTCGCCACCGCCCCAACAACATACACACCAATATTATCCACACTCCCATTTGTTAGTGCAGGTGGGGTTGAACACAAGATTACTGGAGGGAATGAGAGAGGAGAAAATTAATTGGCAAGGAAGAGATAGAAAAATGCCAACTGATGTAGCAGAAGCTTCTTTTTAGCGTGTATTACTTGGCTAGTGTTGTAGGAGCATGTAGTTATTAAAATTAATTCGAGAAAACAATTTTAACCTTAGATACCTTTTTCACAGGCTATGGTTTCCTCTGACCACGTTTGGTTCATTTGGCATGTCCGGGTGGTTGCCTCAGTGCTGAACTGGTAGTCAGAGTCACAGGAGTATGTCGCCACCGCCCCAACAACATACACACCAATATTATCCACATTCCCATTTGTTAGTGCAGGTGGGTTTGAACACAAGATTACTGGAGGGAAATGAGAGAGGAGAAAATTAATTGGCAAGGCAGAGATAGAAAAATGCCAACTGATGTAGCAGAAGCTTCTTTTTAGCGTGTATTACTTTGGCTAGTGTTGTAGGAGCATGTAGTTATTAAAATTAATTCGAGAAAACAATTTTAACCTTAGATACCTTTTTCACAGGCTATGGTTTCCTCTGACCACGTTTGGTTTAGCTGGCATGTCCGGGTGGTTGCCTCAGTGCTGAACTGATAGTCAGAGTCACAGGAGTATGTGGCCACAGCCCCAACAACATACACACCAATATTATCCACACTCCCTTTTGTTAGTGCAGGTGGGTTTGAGCACAAGATTACTGGAGGGAATCAGAGAGGAGAAAGTTAATTGGAAATTAATTGGAAAGAAGAGATAAGATTTCAATTGATGTTGCAGAAGCTTTTTTGTGTATATAGCTAGTGTTGTTGGAGCATGGAGTTATTTTGCAGTACTCCACAGGGATTACTCTGACTTGGAACAGAGTAACTTACAGGCACACTCTGGCTCTGTGTTGCTCCACATTGGTCCCTCCTCACAAGTTCTCGTGCTCTCTCCGACTAGCTCATATCCAAAATCACACGAGTAGGTTGCCTTAGCCCCAACATAGAGTCCAGTCAGTGTGACTTCACCATTAGTTATGTTTGTTAGAACCTCACACTTGGCTAAAGTGGCAGAAGTGAACTGCAACTGATTATGAAGAAATTAGGCTCTAGTTTCAGGCTGCAAAGTATCCATTTTTGAGATGGAACATCCGCAAAATATTAGCTACATACTGAATAATATAATTACAACGTCGAAACTGTTACCTATAGTCATGTCTCAACAACTTGGTAACGAGGTACAAAGGCAAGGCAAGGCAAACAAGTCAACTACACCCAGGACAGCTTTTTCGTTTAAAAGAAAAGAGGAAAAGCTGCCCTGGGTGGAATTCGAACCCACGACACTCTGCAGTCTAGGCGAGCGCTCTACCAACTAAGCTACCAGGGCAACTCAGCTGGTAGGGGTTCGAATCTACAACACAACACAACACAACACAACGCAAACCTCAAACCACTGTACTACAGCACAGTAAACTCTCACTCAGTATGTAAGAGTGCGCCTATAGTCATGACTACAATGATATTATAATGCAGATCTAAAGTCAATCACATAAAATAATTATGTGTGCTTACGTTCATCGTCAATGATGGTCAAGGTCTGTGTCAAGCCATCATCATTTTGAGGATTGCTTGGTGTGATGAGAAGAGTGAGCGTCTCATCAGGTTCACCGTCAGTATCGCCAATAATCTGCACTGTAACAATTCGACTGGAGCCACCAGCATCCGTACCTCTAACAAAGGTTATTTCAGTAGGAGATAGGTTTTGATAGTCAGATCCACCTGTTAAGGAGATTGATAATACACTATGAAATGAGAATAAGGACACAACTAATGTGGTACAATAAAGGTGGGCAAACATTGTATTATACTCACCAGTTGCAGTTCCATCCTGCAGTGCCACAGTATACACTATGTCTCTATCAATAGGAATCATACTGGCAGAGAGTTGAATGACAATGTGAAACTCCCGCATCGAGCTGTTACCCTCCTCCACTTCCACTGGAGTTACACTCACAGCACCCCCTGTTTATGAGATAATTTTAAACAGCATTAGTGTTGTAGAAATCTACTATGACTCTAGAAGATTAAACTGAAGTGTAGCTTTTGTTTTGGCCAGAGATAAAGCAATAAAGCAATAATTAAACCTCACGTTGTCTCTGACTAGAACTAGCTACAGAGGATCCTGTGATGCTACAGATTTTCTACCAAAGCGATTGTGATATGTACTGACTCACGGTCTCCATCCATGATGGTAACAGTCTTAAAAGTGTTCGTGAGGTTCAAACGATTTGAGATCCCAGGAACTGGACTTAAATTCAGTCTAAAGGTCTCTTCTATCTGCTCAATCTCTTCATCAGCAACCAGTGGAATTTGTGTGCAGTAGTTTCGACCTTCCACGGCCCCCACCGGGATTTCAATCGTACGATCAACAAAAAAATAATCACCTGGTAAACCTGAGTGAGTAAAGAGGAAACATCATGTTTAACCGATTTTACCATGTGCCATGCACAAACAACTGTAACTTACCACTGGTTGTGATATCAGTTATGCTAATCATGACTTCAATAGGGCTATCGAGTTGGTTGGAGCCCTTAGTGACCACCACGCACACTTCTACCTGTTCTCCCTCTCTCCCAGACAAGTCACCAGGAACCAAGTCTAGACCAAGAGCTGTAGAATTGCAAATTATTATAAAAATAATGTGGATGACATTTCTAATGGCCATGTTTCAACTTACTGTCATCATCGTCGGTAATTGTTATTGACAGTGAAGAAGTAAAGCCAAGGACGACTCCGTTTTCATTGCTAAGTGCCACATTAAGCACTTCAATCTGCTCAACATCATCATCGTCTAAAGTGATGATGTCATAGCATTTAGGCTCTTCTGTTGCTCCAAATTCAAATGTGGCAATCATAGACAGTGGCGTAAAATCTTCAGATTCTTCAGCGCCTGTAGAAAGAGTCACGGCATGAGTGATTCATTATGCCTGAAGTTCAAGTTCACTACAAAGTGTAGGTCAACTAACAAAACTGGTGGGCACAAAAACAGATAATGCACAGGCTTACTTCCACTCTCCAATGTTGACAGCATGACAGTGGTAGGATTTGTTTGACTCAGTTGATTTGCATTTTCGAGAGTGATGCACACCTGCCCGACACTCCCTTCCTCGACATTATTAGGGCCGGTCAGTGATACTGTGGGGTCTTAAACCAAAAAAGTGTCATCAATTTACTTATAATAACATTGTAAAGATGGATCTATTGCTATAGCTAGTATATTATACATACCTTGTGCCACTGTCATTGACAAAAGACCAAGAATGAACAGCACCAAAGACAAATATCGACTGGTGGAGTTCATGTTTCTCACTGTCTCCATCTAACTTTTACTATCCGCAACCTACTCAGCTACAACCAGAGCCCTTTGGAACCTCATGTATGCAGCCAATGCTTATTTATGGCATTTATAGTGGCTGCTCTGCACCTACTGAAGCTCTACCGTTAGGTACACTATATTCTGAAAGTACTGGGGTTGGCACTGCTGTGAGTTCTGTGTGAATACTATGTGAAAGCAGTCTGATTGGACTTCTCTCTAATTATGTGGCCCTACCCTATCAACATTCCACTGGAGACTTGAGTAACCAAGGTTCTTCAGTATATGGTGTGCGGTATGGTGTAAGGTGGTAGCCCAACCATTATGAACCCTCGGCGCGCATGCGCAGCGAGGGTTACTGTAGTTGGGTTTGTGTGTGTGTGTGTGTGTGTGTGTGTCTGTTACTCTCAATCTCACTTCTCGAGTGTCTGTTCGTCCCAGAAAAGATACCATCTACCCAACGGGCGACGAAGGTCAGAACATATGTGGGGTTTTGTCTGAAAATGCTCCGTTGCAAAGCTAGAGCTCTTCCAGCATTGTACGGCCAGCTAATGCCGGTAGTCGCCATTTTATCGCTGGCGGATAATGCGCATGCGCTTATATTTAGCACAGGCTTACCTCGACGGGGTCCGCTTGCTCTGTCTATCTTGAAGGCACAAGAAGTCACAACGATGGCGTGTATCGACTCTCGCGTGCTATCTACTACTGTAGCGAGCTACTTCGCCGAAGGTTTGCACTTTAGTGCTTTTCATTAACCCTCGGCGCGCATGCGCAGCGAGAGTTACTGTAGTTGGGTTTGTCTGTGTCTGTCTGTCTGTTACTCTATATCTCACTTCTCGAGTGTTCGTTCGTCTCACAAAGGATACGACCTACTTAACGGGCAATGAAGGTCAGAAAGTTTGTGCGGTTTTCTCTGAAACTGCTCGGTTGCAAAGCTAGAGCGCGAAAAAGCCAATTTGCAAATACACAACGGACGGGATTACCACGGTCTGATCGATCCGCATGCTCTGCGTATCTCGGAGGCACCAGAAGATGCAACGCAGGGCGTGTATCGCCTCTCGCATGCTATCTAGTAGTGTAGTTAGCCCGCGTCAGACTCTGCGCGAGCTGGCAAGAGACCACGAGTAAACAGCTATAACTAAACCCAGTCCATCAATTAGTGGTACTGCGCATGCGTTTACTTACGCGTGCGCGTCACAGTGCGCCGAGGGTTTGCACTTCAGTGCTTTTCTTTTCTACTAGTAGGCGAATGCATGGCATTTTTGACGAGCGGAAGCGAGCTTACAAATGGTATGAGTCACTCTTGTGTGTGCACAAAACAGTGCGTAGCAGCTGTAGGCGGGCCTCTCCTCACTGGACTCGGCAGCAATTTGGCGCTTTGAAGCTGTTGGAACCTGGCCTGATGTGCTTCCTCTGATTCTGCACCGCGTCTAGCTCCTGATCGTACACGAACTCTCGCTAGTCGCGCTTCCCTTTCCTCCGCTGTTTCTATTGGCCGGCGTTGCCTTCTTGCCCGTTCCCGATCACGCAATCGGCGTTGAGAAAGCCGAGCTTCTCTTTGCTCAGGAGTCTCACTGGCGCGACGTTCTCTTTCCCCTCTCTCGTCGACGACGAAGAGCATCTTCTCTAGACTGATCCATAACTCTTTCCTTTCCTCACACGCTCACAAATTATCAGGGGTGGAGCCTTCTGAGGGGTGGGCGACGTACCGACGACGTATAACGGTGACATGCGCAGTTCTGCGACGTACGGTGACATATCAGAGCGTCGGTAGACGCT